AATATGCTGACTCTCTGTAAACCGCTTAGAGAGGCCTGAAAGGCCTATGAAGCGGTATATAAGTCTACTGCTATTGCTATTGCTATTGGTTCATTGTGCCTTATGAATTTGGCCTATATGTTGTAAAATGGTGGTGTTAGATGTGTTCCTGAATAGGAGCTGCAGCTCCGTAATAGCAAAACTGTAGCCTCTCAGATCCATTTCTCCTCTAATAGCCAGTAGGATTAATGGGAAGAGACTTTGCAAACATCTTGAACAAAAGAGTTAGTTTAGGTGTTTCAAGGCTGGAGCTGGAAATGCTAATCCTCTAAAACACAATGTTCTATGTATTTTGTGTACATTAATGCTATGGGGAATGGACATGGCTCTCTTTCTATGCTTTCAGTGAGACAGGCACATTCCTGGGTTTGGGCACTGTCACAGGCTCGGTTGCCATCTTCGTCGCCTTTTCTTTGCAGGTATGAGTTTACCCCTCCAAGATTGTGTATACATAACGCTCAGCTAAGCTGGGCCAACCCCAGCACACACAAATCCTGGTCAAGGCATAAGCCATTGTTGGGGTGAGGATGTTGATACAGCATTTCAAACTCATGGTTGGCGTAGGGCTGGTATGCGTACAATTGCAAGATCTTGCAGCAGGCTCTGTAGGGAAAGAAGAGGATTGCCTTGACTCCTGAGAGTCCCTGGCAGGTTGTCTCCAATTCTGTGTTTCTTTCTACTTCTCCAGAGGCTGTACTACGTGCGGGAAGCACATGGCATAGTGGTCACTGCTGTGGCCTTCCTGCCTGAGACTCCTGAACTGCTCAAGAGCAACGAGGCAGCCCTCCTAAGCGTGGCAGTTGATAGCCGCTGCCGCCTGCACCAGATTGCCTGCCGGCGTATGTTCAAAGCTGGGGTGGTGGATTTAAATGTGGGATGGGAGTCCTGCCCTGCTAATATGGGGTCTCCTACAAACTCTTGGTTGATTCAATGCTCTTTCTCTTCCCAGGGAGTTTCCCCATCTGGCTGCTGCTGCTCTTCTGTGCTGGGCTGATTGTGGGCACAGTCCTGTTACTACAGTTGGCCTTCCCAGGGTTCCTCTAATCTTTCTTCACGGGGAGGTTCCTGGAAAGCTTGGACCTTCTCTGCCCTTCCTGTAAGGGACACATCTTCTCCTTTCTAACCTCAGAGACTGGAGGGGGGACCCAGGAGCCAGGGCAATGATTGCCCTAGTGAAGTGCGTGGTCAGGTGGACTTGGCCAAACTGGAGGCTGGACCTCACATTGATCAGGTTTTGGCCTTGAGCAAATTCTTGTCTTAAGCCCATCACACTGAATGGGGATGAAGGAACTATACTCCTCCATTTTTGACTGATCTGTGAGAAACATTCCAGCATTATTTGCTCTGAGCAAAGATTTCCCGTTTAAGCTCAGGGCTTAAACCTTGTATTATTAAACACAATGATGGAGCCGAACCTTTCCTTCCTGCCTGCCTTGTTGGTTACTTCTCCATTTCCTTTTGGCTTGGGCAGAGCTGGAGGTCATAACAGTAGAGGATTCTTTGGGGCCAGAAATGGAGGAGACTGCAACTGCTCCATGAAGACTCACCAAACAGATTGTCATTTGGAATAGCTCTGCCGTATCAAGTCTAAGAGGAATGAAGCTATTTTCTTATTTTTCTGCCATGGCTATGTAAGAGAAGGGGGTGGAGAAGATAGAGATTTGGGGATTCCCTTCCCGCTTGAGCAAGGCTTCAAGAACATCTAAGCTTGACTCCAAGAATCTCTTTAAAATACTCTGAATGTATACGTAGAGCAAAGATGCTTGCATTTGTGTTCATGCACATGCATAGTCAGTTTACAGTTTGCTTATGTCAGCAAATCACAGCTGTTCTCATGGAAAAACTAAGTATTTTCAGCAATTAACAGTCCCTCCGAACATCTGGCTTCAAGCATTCTCCAGTATAGATTTTTCCATGAACTGTAAATTTATTCCCCCCCTTTCATTCGGTTGATTTCTTATTTTGGGACTTGAAAATTTGCCAGCATTATCATACTTGTTCAATTATTTTAAATTCCCAGAGTTTATTAGGTCACCACTCTTTTGTAGAGGTGAAAAACATGACTGCTGATATAGTATGCTGGCATTTTCCAGTCAAAAAAATTAAAAATGATCACAATCTGAAAAGAACGTTAGGATAGGTGGTTTTGCATCCTGCCATTTTTATCAGGGAAGCAAGAGAGGGAATTAATCTTCCTTGATAGTCCAGGTACAATGTCTCAATTGAGTGAGCCAGTAACAGAGAAGATGAAATGAGCGGAAACTTGAAGTTTCTTGTCCCTAAATGTAGAGAAAGTCTTGGGTCTACTGTGTTCCCCTAAAAATAAGACAGGGTCTTATTTTCTTTTGACTCCCGAAATAAGCACTTGGCCTTATTTTCGGGGAGGTCTTATTATTTTTGAGATGCAGGAGGTGGAGAGTGTGGTCAACTCATGGCTGCTGCTGTGTTGCAATATATTCGGGGAGGACTTATTTTTGAGGGAGGGCTTATTTTAGCGCATGCACTCAAAAGCCCAATTGGGCTTATTATCCGGGGAGGTCTTATTTTCAGGGCAACAGGGTAGTAGTGCGTTTTGTAGCCTTTGAGGGTCAGCCATAGTTGGGTCTGTTGATACATGACCTTCATATATATTATTTTTTTGTTAATAGCAATCTTCTTTGGCAGTCTTCTTAACATGTTTAACTAGATGATGACTGCATTAGATACCATGTGAACATGTTTAGGGGATTTTTTTTGTGTGTGTGTGCTCAACTTATTTGGATAGATAATGGTTCAGTATAGGGCAAAATCAGAAGATTGCTTATTTCAGTTATTGGGATAAACATTATACAACTACAACAGTGCATTCAAGAATGGCCCTTTGACTTCCACGTCCTTGCTGATGTTTAGTTGATTCATTCTTTCATAAAAATATATATTTCTGCATCAAAAGTTTTATGGTGGGGAAAATAGGACTATTGGGAGAATCTGGACTTGGCAAGATCACAGAGTCTTTCAGACCATTTGAAAAGTTCCACCACTCAGTGCCCTAGTTTACACATTACACCATACAGCTTCTCTGTTTTTTCTCTTAGTTTGAGACCAGATATTTGTAGCTCGGTAAATCACAGTTCAGTAACATATTATCTAGAACTGTGATGGTGAACCTATGGCATGCGGGCTGGAAGTGGCACGCAAAGCCATCACTAGGCACGTTCTTCTGGGCTCTGGCGCACTGGCCAGCTGGTCTTCACGCACGCGGGAACGCCAGAAACCGGAAGAGCAGGTGGCTGTTGCACATGTGTGTTCCAGAAACCGGAAGAGCAGCTTCTTGGCACGTGCAGGCGCATTGGGTGGCTGCTCTTCCGGTTTCTAGCAGGCGCACAGGTATCCCGGTCTACATGCGTGCATGCACGCCAGAAACTGGCTAACTGGGTGGCTGTAGTGCATGCACGTGCCGGAAACCGGAAGTTCACCTTCCTGGCGTGTGCATGCGCACTCGGTGCCAAAAAGGTTCACCAGCACTGATCAAGAACAGTGTGAACTCTGCAATTAAGTCTACATTTGCCCTGATACATAGCTTGGATTTGTATGATAATGATGGTTTGAAATTTCTTTTTTTTTTAATTCAGAAGCTATTGAGAGAATATAACATTGTTATGCAGTCAAGTAATCTACCAGGGCTTTGTCTACTAACAGATGATTTCCAGAGTTTTAGGTGACAGATCTTTTTTTTTGGCCAATATTTAATAGTTGAATCTACGTAGATATCTGTGTTATAACCATTCTTGCTTGCATCCATATTTCCTGATTGGGAGGAACTTGAGCAATAAGTTATGTATTGTGATATAGTAGCACTATTTTTTCTCTTCTTCCCCTTCCTGAGTCTCCAACATGCTAGCTGAAAGTAGGGGAAGCAGTAACTTCTCTTATTTTTTTTCTAAATGACCAGCTTTTATGACTTCATTCTGTTGTGTCATCTTTTCAATTGTATAATAATGAAATAGCCCAGTTTTTCATCTTATTGGGAAAAAAATATGTGCTTTTACTAGATATGAACTGATTTGGTCTAGATACTGAAAGTTATTGTAGAAGATGGCAGCAAGTAAATATTGGCTGGTCTTGACAGATTTAGTCAGGACACGGATGAGATCCTTCCAGGAAATTGTTGCAGCTAGATGAGGAAATTGGAAAAATATGCCAGAAGAGGGCAGTGGCAAACTATTCCCATTGTACTGCAGGATTCAAGTGTGACCAAGAGAACTTTTTATCAAAACCAAAATAATGGCCCCTCTCCTAGGGTGTCTTCTCTTGGGAAAGATTGGTCCAGGTTTCATTCAATGGAAGTACTGTAGCAGATTTTTCAGAGGAGGAAAATGGCCACACACGATTAACTCTTCCCCAAGGCAGAAACAGAAAGAGTTCTAGAAGGTAGAATTGAAGTATTTAACAAGTTACCTTCCCAAATGCAGCAAATGCTGATGGGGAGAAATTAAGACTGAAAATGGAGAAGGGAACTGTAGGATGAAGTGTCTGGTAATAGTATAGTTCAGTGTTTTTCAACCTTTTTTGTGCAAAGGCACACTTTTTTCATGAAAAAAATCACGAAGCACACCACCATTAGAAATTGTTAAAAAAA